TTTAGTTTACTTTTAATTTTATATTTAATTATGCCTTTTAGGCTTTAGCTTAATTTTAATTTATATTAGGTTCATCAATATTTAATTTGAGTTGAATTTTGAGTTTAAGTTTAAGTATATTTCAATTTCTTTGATTCTAAGGTTTAGAATTTATTGTTTTTTTTAGTTTTTTTTTTAGCTTAGGTTTGAGTTTTAGCTTTAGTCTATTTTATTTTATGTCTACCTTAGCTTTAGGTTTTGTTTTATTTTTAGTTTGTGTAGCATTAGCTTTGAGTTTTCTTTTAGGCCTAATTTAGGCATGTATTTATTTTAGTGTAGGTTTATATTTAGTTTGATTTTAGTTTTAAATTTAGTTTTGTTTGATTTTGTTTTAAATTTAGAAAATTTCTAGGTGTCTATGGTGGTCTATTTTTCCATGTTAAATGGGCTACCCCAGTTTGACATAATATAGTTATTAATGACCTACATGCTAGTTGAGTTTATTTTGAACTAGAGCATTGAACAAGAGAATTTGGTTTACTTGGTGGGTCTCACAAGGTTCCTATAACATGAATAGGTCAACTAAGTTGACCTAACAAGTGTGGATTAAATGGGTGAGTCAAGGAGGGTTCAAGGGATCCTAAAAAGACTCTTAAGGCTTTGAATAAGATCCCGAAATCTAAGGGTCTCAAGGATAGCCAAAGGCTAGAAGGGTGCTTACTTATTTTTGGTTCTTAATCATCAGGCCATAGTCAGTTTAAATTCCATGGAATGACTTAAGGACTAATTTAAGTTCACCTTGGATCAAGGAGGAGAGAAATTGATGTGACTCTATGTTAGACTTCAACCTTCAACTAATCATTCCAAGAACTTATTAAAGGAATTTCTAAGAATAGATCCTAATATCTAGGGATATGATGGTGAGAAAAATATGTCATGTTCATTAAAAATGAATTCAACAACCATTTTGTTAGAAACTATTGAATTCAAAATAGATGACCGAATCTTATGTTTTTTAGTAAAAGAGTGAGAGCATAATATAACCATTATATCTGAAAAGGTATTTAAATTTTTTCATTGTTGATTATTTGCATTGTTTCTTGGAATTAAATGAGCAAAAAAATAGTTCAAGAGATGATAAAGAGGATAAAAAATTTAGCAATTAAGTATCATGACTATGCTACAAAGAATCCTCACTTTTAGAAAGTGATAATGATGACAATGCACTATTAATAAGGAAAATTGTATTAAGTCTTAAGAATAATGTTTACAAAAGCATGGGCAAAAAAAATGTCATTATTTTAAAAATAAATCAAAAATAGCTTTACAAGTGAAACTAATGAAATTCCAATGTGCTTCAAATGCAACAAGTGTCAAGTTTGATTATCTTTTGAACCAAAGTAGGAGGAAAAAAAGGCTTGCATCTGCGACATCTTAACAGATAATAAAGGTGATATGGGAGTATTCAGATGGAAGGGAAGCATGAAAAAAGCTATCTTATTAAGAAGAAGCAAATTTTCTTTAATAGTAATTAGTGATCCATCTAAATAGGTAAAGCTAGATTTAACCCATGGTAAAATTCATGATGCTTTATTTAAAGTGAAAGAAAGTTGTAATTACTTTGAAAATGAAATATCACATTTTTAAAAGAGAGCATGTTAATTTAAATTTATATTATATTGAGCTTGAAAATGAGTTGTGTGAATTTAATGAGATAAAGCATTTTTGTGTGATGACTTAGAGAAAATTATACTTTAAAATTTTAAGTTGAGTATTTTAGTAGTTTAACATTGAACAAACCTATTAATCTTGAAATTCATTATCTTTCTGATATTATGAGAATATCTCAGTTCATGCATTTTACATACACTAGTTAGTGCATAGTTTGTGATAGTTTAAGACACCTACCTAAAATTTATAAGAATAGTATTACACATTGAACACTACAATATGTTTGGATAGCTTGGATCACATATGCACAAGTGGTTAGATACTCTCCCATATGTGCGTTGAAAAATTACTCAGCTCGATGCTAGAAAATGAACCTAACCTACAAAATTCATTTATATGTTACCTAATTAACATTTGGGTTGATTTTGAGTCTACAATCTAACCTTAACATTTTAGGTTAGGTTTGGGTTGATCCTCTAGTTCAAAATTAACTCAAATTTAAACCAAATTATTCCTAAAACCTCAAATGAACAAAACTCATACTTAACCCAAATAGATGTTGAGCCTTTTATGAAAGGATTTATATGGGTCAAAGTTGAAGGTAAGTTAGGTTTGTGTCAATTTTTTTTCTTTAAATAAATGGAATGAATAGGCTCTTGCAAGTTCAGTTTTGATCAATTTTAGGTCAGACCTAAACCTAACCCATTAACCCAAATTGAAATGAAACCCATAGTCTCCCAAACATCTTTGTTCATTCCATTAATGGACTCTAAGAAATTTTTGTTCCAAAGCTAACAAGCTATACGTTTGTTTAGGTATGTCATCACTATGAAACAAGTGAAGGCAGATGGTACTTACACAATAAATATTTGAGGCATAGAATCAGAGATCATCTATTATTTTCTTCAATGGAACCAAGGGATGTTAAACATGTGTCATTACAAGACAATTCCAATAAAAAAATAAATGCAATTCCAATGGTTACAGCCCTACAGCATCCAAAAGATCTTATTGGTTGATGGGTTGTAACACAAATTAATCAACATTAGCCATTTGTACAATTATAGGTATGATATTTAGTTTTCCTCCGATTGATACTTAATTAAGTGAACTTGAAGTATACTTTATTTATTTTAGTTATGATAAAAGAAATTTGCTTGAACTTAATAAATTATTTGTTAGTAGTTTGAAGTATTTAAAATTATATTATGATGATCCATGTTTCTATATTAGATATTTTTATCACATGCCAACATACTTTATCTAAATCGGTTACAAATAAGTTAATTATAGGATTAACCGAGCTAATTTATTTTTGGGACAACATATACGTTGTTTGCTAGTTAGTTAAGCAAAATCATACATCCTTTTAAGTCCATAAACTCAGTAACCACTTATAAACCCTTAGAACTACTTCATATAGGCTTATTTGGGTTGGTAGTTTCAACAAGCTTAGGAGGGAGAATGTATAGTACACTATTATTAATAACTATTCAAGATTCATTTAAGTAGCATTCTTATCTAATAAAAGTGATTTAGTCACTTATAAAATATACGGAGTGGATTCAAAAAAGATATGGGTCTATTCATTTGGATTATTAGAAGTGATTGGTATGGAATTTTTATGAATTAGAGCCCCTTAAGTATAGAACGTAAATCATATATAATATAAATTGTATATATGGTTAAAATAGTCAAGATGTTTTGGGCTTCTGTGTAGAGTGGTAGTGATCCAAAATGGTGGTCAAATAAGGCTTGGATAACTCAAACTCTTGGCCAATGTTTCTCTAGCTTAACGATTCGGTGGTGCGCTTAATTAGTGGATAAAAGCTCTTATAATTGATAGAAAGGAGTGTCTAGACTTTTTCAAATTTTATAAAACTTTTTAAAGGTTTTTAATTTAATGATAGAAAGTACATAAAGGAATATGTCACTTGTATTCTAATTTTGAAAAAGTTCATGCATCTTTAATTTTATTTACAAGAAAGATGGTTGTTTTTGGACATGACATGTTAGATGAAATGTATAAGATGTTTTTGATAAAGTTCATTTTATGATCTACTCTTCTCTTCTTTCATATATTACAATTGAATTATAATTATATATTAAAGATAACATATCATTAAATTAATATATTAAGATTCAAACTAATTTAAAGAAGAATTATAAAGATGTATTTCAAAAAAAAAAAAAATTTTTGACAATAGTCGGATGATTAGTTATTTAACCAAATAAAAATATGAAAATTCCATTATTAATAACATATTTATAAATAGTTCTCTTACTAGCCCTTTAAAATATGATTTCTTACCAACTTTTATCCATAATTGTTTTTTAAAAAAAACTAGTGAGGAACTTTGGTGAATTGGAGGCTCTTGAAGCTTGAAAATAAAGTATAAGATAGTTCCCTATATGAATAAAATACTAAAGAAGTTTGATTTTATGTGTGAAGAAGTAGAGACAAAATGATAGTAAGGATTTGATAACTCCAAATAGGAAGAACTTTTTTTAAGTTCAAGATATTTATAATAGAACCTATGGGTTAATTAGTAGATTAAAAAAAAAAAAACAGCTAAAGTTA